GGGTTTAGGGTTTAGGCGTTCGGGTTTAGGGTTCTGAATTTAGGGTTTAGGCTTTAGGGTTTAGGCTTTAGTGTTTTAGGCTTTAGGGTTTAGGGTTTAGGCTTTAGGGTTTAGGATTTAGGGTTCAGGGGCTTGGGGGTTTAGGCTTTAGGGTTTAGGGTTTAGGCTTTAGGATTTAGGGTTTAGGGGTTCTGAATTTAGAAGTTCAGGGTAATACAGGGGCCTTCAGGAATAGGGCTTTGGGGTCCATTATCCCACCAATACAAGAAGGATCAGTATTTGGACTTCCGGGTGCCATCTTTGGAGCGTTTTTGCAAGAACCCAGAGAACCCAATACCCCTCAATTAAGGAATATACTTTAAATCATAATATTAAAGCCCCTATAATTTAAGGTATATTCCTTAATTAAGGGGTATTGGGTTCTCCGGGAAACTGTCTACTTACAGTTCGCAATCCAACCAGAACAAACGTGAAGACCTTCCTGGGCCCAGCAAGTCCAGAACACCCAGGCAAGCTGATCAAGGACGTCAGCTGACGTTGCGGCACGAAAGCGCTGACTTGAAAAGGGCGTGGCTCAGGCTGCAGGATTTATATCCCAATCCCTAAACCCTAAACCCTAAACCCTAGACCCTTAACCCTAAAACCTAAAACCCTCTCTGTTTCAGAGCTCACAGCATCCACCCCTCCTTCTTCTTCCCCCCCCAGCTAGACGAAGGTCCCTTGAAGGGCAGCTTCCCCTACCAAGCCCTAAACCCTTAAGACCTGAATCCGAAACCCTAAGCCCTGAGCCCTAAACAATCCTAAACCCTGAACCCTAAGCCCTAAACAATCCTAAACCCTGAGCCCTAAATCCTAAAGCCCTAAACCCTAAGCCCTTTCTGTTGTGATAGGGGGCCATGGGAGTCCGTTGTGGCTGCCCAGCTAGTTGCAGAAGGTAGATTCGTTTCGAGGCTTGTGTAACCCCAACCCAGAAAACCCAATACCCCTTAATCAAGGAATATACCTTAAACTATAGGGGCTTTAATATGATGGTTTAAGGTATATTCCTTAATTAAGGGGTACTGGGTTCTCCGGGAATAGGGTTGTGTGCCAAAAAAACAACGAGGGGTTGAGGGTTGCGGGCTGAGGGTTTAGGGCCAAAAGACAGCAAGGGGATTCTGCAAGGAAGTATCTGTTCCTAAGCTCTAAACCCTACAAACCCTAAACC